AAGTAGTTAATAATGCATGGCTTATTAGTTATCACAGAAAAGAAATACACTGTGCAGCTTAAAAGTGTACATCACCATATACTCAAAGCAGCTGCAGAATTCACACCAGGGCTGCTGCATTAGGAAGACAACCAAGAGAACATATTCCTGAAAATGCCAATCCTACACAGTATTTAAAAAAAAATCAGAATCACACAATCAAAACTGTCAAATTTCATTGGTTCTATCAGTCTAGAGGATAAAGTACCTAGGAAACAAAACATACAAGTACTTTTTCCCACAGAAAAGCTGAAATTCATACTCCCATCTCTCTTTTAGGTATTATTTGATTCTCTATGTGTTAGAATCAAATTATGATTAATTCTAGTTATGCCACTCTCACTTTCTTCAGGCTTTTTATTCTTTCCTGACTAATTACCTTTTTCCAGCTGGCACATGAAAGAAAAGTTTGCTATTAATTAAAGGATGGATACTCTGTTCCTTAACCATAGCTTATACATACAGACAGCAGGAGAGAAAGGTTGAAAAAAATGAGTGCACTGATGAAAACACTACATGGGTGTGTCTTGGAGCATCATCAGTCACTACATCTTTTGTCTTAGCACCATTCCTGAAGCCACCAAGATGACATATTTCAGCCTTTGCTATACTTGCAACATTTTGATTTATGCTGCTTCTTAAGCACTTTCTACTTAATCTTCTCTCTTCAGAGAGTATTATTGACTCAACCCCTCTGTGAAGCCCAAATTCACAAAAAGCCAGTGAAGAAACCTGAATAAATCTGGGATGTTTTAAGTAAGAAAGTTCCAACAAGCACTCCCACAAATTAAGAGAAGTTGTTCAAGAAAAATCAACATTACATGCAAGGAAATGAGTCCAAAATATTTTGCAACACAATTTTTGCTGCTTTTTAGAAGTAAGTCTCAGCACTCCTCATCATCCAGGGCCATCTATCACAGAGCAGGCAGGTCCTGCTGCATGCTCCATTAATTATGTTCCAGGAGATCTCTGACTGCACATTTATGGAGGTGAGACAGGAACGCAGCTCCCCATGGTGACTAACAGGCCCATCGTCAAACTTTCCTACATTGTCATTACTTACTTTTTTTTTTTCCACCTCTCCAGTGAAGAATATTTTTTTCCCCTCATTGTACTGATAGGTGATTAATGCAGTTTTAATTGCCACCATGCATCATTTGAGAGCACTCACAGCCAAAATATTGGGAAAGGTGGTCTCAACACTGGCCTAGGGAAATGTGACATCACTGGATTCATTGCCTGGCCCTGCCACACATCTCCTGTGGGACATAAGGCCTCCAACAGGGCAGAAGCCAGAACACACTAAAAGCTAAAGAAAAAAGGGAAAGCCCTACAGAATTAGCACAGTTCAATAATCCAGTATCAAACCTATCTTGCAATGACAAAATGCTACCAATGGATGCAAATTGCTTTCCCCAAACATTTCCTCAACTATCAGCTACCAAAAGCTTTCTTATTTTTTAAAAGGAAGGAGGGCAAGCGAGGAAACTCAGAGAGCCTTGAGGTTGGAAAAGCCAGACTACACATCATCAGCACCTCAAAGCAGCATCCAAACCCAGAGGAAGCCCAAAGACAAGCAGAAAAAAAGAGCAGGGAATTTCTTGGGCTCTCAGTACCTCAAGAATCCAAAGGGTGGCAGTTGCAAAGAGGGAATGCTGAGGCCTGAAACCCTCTCCTTTACTATGATCCAGAGGTGCCCCTCACCTTTGGGATCCACAGCCTGGAACATTCTCCTAGAGACAAATGGTTAAACCTCTTCTTCCAAAACTGAGCAAAACTGCTGTCTTTTAAAATATAGACTGAGGAGCAAGAATTGAAGCAGCAGTGCCCAACTTCCCCACTCCCATCCCACTCTACAGCACTAGCCCCAGATGCACAAGAGAGGTTCAGTTTCCTCTCCTGACTAAGAGGGATCAAAGCTCAAAGCAGAGCTTTATGCTCACATCCAACAGCTGTTTATAGCACTGAAACCACTCAGAGACAAGGAGGGGAAGGACAAAGGCTTCTTCCAGCTCCAAGAAGTGTTCCAAGCCTTTGGGACCCACTGACAGAATGTAGTTCCAGCAATTCTCAACCCTCTTTGTAGAGGGAGGTGTGGAAAGGCAGTCCTGCCCTCACCTAGCACCTCTCAGCGTGCTCACCTGGACACAGGGCCACAGATTCTTTGTTTCCTATAAAGAGATGGTTTATATCTCCTGAACTACACCAGAGCAAGATTTCCACACTCAGGTTACAGCAGATATCAACCTGGCCCAACACACAATCTGGACACTGAGCACGTGAAAATTTCTGCACTGGCAAGTGAGGAAAAAATACTCCAAAATTCAAGAAACAGCCTATGCTTTGAAATCTCCCTCAAAACTCATGTGCTGAGCTGGATCAACCCTTCAAGGAGTGATGTCCACCGATGTGACAGACCTGCCCTGCTTGGAGAGGTGTTGTGCCTTTTTTACCTTATTTATAGAATGGCCTTACTCATGCTTCATTTAAGAAACAATTAGCCTTTGACAGCTTAAAATAAACAGGACTTTCTCTCTGCTGAACAGTCACTAGCCCTGAGCTGTATTTCAAGTTGTTGAAACAGCACGAGACTCCCCAGTGGGCTCAGTAGTGTAAGAGAGGCGCTGGGCAAGCTAACCTTTCAGAACAGCACCCTGAGCAACCCGAGCAAGAGTAATCAAACAAGGACTGCCATCAGTCAAATGAAGCAAGCAATCATTCCCAATCCTACCCCACTTTGTCCTCAACAACTGGAGGCACCTTTGGAAGGTGAGGCCTCCTCTTTCCAGAGATTTGCAGAGAACCTGCAGGAATGCAGAAGGTGCAGGAGTTCAGCAATGGTTGCACACCAGAAGTGCAGCTGGCCAAGCTTTTTCCCTGAACATAAGAGGTTTTTCTGCCTCCTGTGTTGCTGCAGCCAGTCCAAAGGCAGCAAGTACAATAGCTGGCGCAGATAATTGGCATCACAATTTCAAATTTCAGTCCAAGCTCTTGTACCACCAGCAGAGGGGTCAGCATTCCCATTGAGTAGCCATGGGAGTTTTCCACTGGTGACTTCAAGCTTCCCAGAGCTGCTCCACTCCAGCCTCCTGGTTCTGCAGCTGCCTTTACCATGCCAGGGAGCAGGGCACAAAAGGGCTGTGCTGAAAAGCCAACAGAGGTACATCAGCATTCTTGAACTCCTGTCTCATCCCAGGTAGTTTTTTTGAGCTGGGTTTCCTGACTAAAAGAGAGCCTGGATAGAACATGTTGGCTCGAGCTCACTTGTTTCTTCTAGTAAAGAGCTCCCATGTGCCATAGGCAAGCCTGGATCTTGGCTTCTCCTCTATAAAACTGGGAGTGAATGTCCTGCCTTAACTCCAAGGGATCAAAGGAGGATCAGCAGTCTGAGAGTATTGTGTCAGGGCAATGCCAACACGTATTCAAGTGACAGTTGTCCAAGCACCAGTCACAGCAGGAACATCCATGCCATGAGCAGGTGTTCTCAGAAAGGAGGAACACAATGAAAAGCAAAAGCACAGCACACACAGCTTCCTCCGGATAACAGAACCCGGCGATGAGACACAACAACACCACCAACCAGCAACAGACCGTGCCAGCAAAAAGGAAGTGCTGGGGAGAACAAGAATAAGAAACAATATCCAGCAATTAACATCTGCAGAAAGCAAAATTTTTCAGACGGAATTTAAAGTTGTAAGAGTCAGCAAAACAAAAGATGTGAGACAACATGGGGAGTCACAGAGAGACGAGGCGCCAAATAAACAAATAGAGGAACACACCGTGGAAAAACACTTGTCAACAGATCAAAAGAGATCCAGCAAGGATTGGATGCAATAATAAGGTATCAGAAATATAAAAGACATTGAACACCAGCTCTTTTCCAGCAATAGCAGGACACCAAGTTAATCTAGACATTCGTTGCTCGCACTTTCACACCAACAAGTTCCCCCATCGCAGGGATCCCAGAACACAGGCAGCCTAACACAAACACGGGAGCAACACCCAGGCACACACTGACTTGCCCTAGAAAGTTTCACTGCTACTCCGAGGGTACCACTAATGTTTAAGCAGGTATTTACTAGAGTTTGACCTGCCTTGCCGATCGCATCACTCACAACCATGCAGCACAGGAGCTGTTTCCAGCGGTAAAGGTTTCAGGACATGCCATAAAGTCACTGAAGCTCCCGCAGCTCTCCTACAAACATCAGAGGGAACCACCGCGCCCTCCGGACAGGTCACTGCAACCGAACTACAGGATGGTTTTAAAAAATGTATCAACATAAAGAAATGTATCAGTGTATTTGTCATTCTGCGCTGAGACTTTCCCTCCTGGATTCCAAAAGGGTGATTTGCAGCGGTCACTGTTAATAAAAACCTGAAACAAGCAGCAGTTCAGTGAAGTAAAATACATCTTTTCACCTCGCAAAGAGAAAGAGCTCACGGGAAAAGCATCCCCATGAAGTTAAGCATCTGATTATAAATATCTCATCACTGACAACCAGATTGTGCTGGACACAAACCTGAAGTAAAGGGATACACATTTAACGAGCCCATTAGGACGATGAGCAAGAAAGCAAAGGATTTGCCTTTCACGTCTTTGTCAAAAATTCTCGGACGGGCAATTAAACTTAATTAATTAATTAATTTAAAGGTCGGCTATAGATAAGGACCGTAGGAAGGCGTTTGGGCAGGGCACAGAGCGGGCTCTGGTGCTGCGCTCGGGGCCGCCGCGGGGGCGCAGCCCCGGCAGGAGCCGAGCGGGGATCCCGGCACCGCCGCCGGCACCGCGGCCGCCCGGGCCCCGCTCGGGAACTTCTCTCGTCCCCTGCCGCTCCCCATCACTTCCTACTTTCCCCGCGCCGCCGAGCAGCGCTGCCGCCCCTTCCTGTGCCGCCGCCGCCGGCGCTGCCCGCGGGCCGGCTCCGCGCAGCGCGCACGGCTCCGCGCCCGGCCCCACTCACCCCAGCGTGCTGATGAACCCATTGACGGAGCCCTCCGCGTACAGGGACACGATGTCCCCGATGTACAGAAAGCTGGACATTTTCTCAGACATTCTGGTTCATTTTCCAGCTGGGTTCCGCGCTCCTCCCCTTCGAGGTGAAAAAAAAAAATTAAAAAAAATTAAAACAAAATTAAAATAAAATCAAAGCAAATGGCAGCGATCCTTGGGGAAGCCGCGGGCTGAGGCGGGCGGACGGGGGGCTGAGCGCGGCCCGGAGGTGCCGAGAGGGCTGACAGGAGCGCGGTGCGCGGCTCGGCACGGCCCGGCCCCCGCCCGCCCCCCGCGCCTCCGCCCCCGCCCGCCCCTGCCCCGCCCCGGGCAGGAGACCGAGCCTCGGAGGGGGACCGAGCCACGGCAGGGGAGCGGGCCTGCGGGCCGGGGACCGAGCCCCGGCGGGGGACCGTATCTCCGCTGGGGACCGAGCTCCGGGCAGGGGACTGGGCTTCCGCTGGGGACCGAGCCCCGGCGGGGGACTGAGCCTGCGGGCAGGGGACCGGGCCTCCGCTGGGGACCGAGCCTGCGGGCAGGAGACGGAGCCTGCGGGCAGGCGGCCCCGGCATCCCCGCCGGCCCGGAGAGAGGCTGCCGAGCCCCTCGGTCAGTGATTCCCCGCGGGCGGCTCCCCGGGGCTGGTACCCGAGGGGGCAGCGGCTGAGGGAGCCCAAACCAGGGGGCGTGAGGGGACGGCGACCCTTCCCCACAGCCGAGAGAGTTTGCTTGGTGTGGTCGCCAAAAGTGTCACCCTCTGTTTGGTGGCTTGCAAACTTCAGGAACCACAGCTCCTGTGGTTATTGTTTTTAATGAGAAGCAGAGCGTGCTGCAGTGCTGTGCAGGAATTCGCAGAATCACAGGATGGGTCAGGCTGAAGGGGCCACAGTGGGTCGGTCAGCTGGTGCCATCTCCGTGCTCCAGCACGGCCATCCAGCACAGGGCACAGGATTGTGTCCAGATGGTTCTGGAATATCCCCAGTGAGGAGACTCCACACACTCTCTGGACAGTTTGTTCAGTGCTCAGTCACTGCCCAGGACAGAAGTTCTGCCTCCTGCCCAGGGGGAACCTCCTGGGCTCAGTCCCTGCCCGTTCCTCTGGTGCCATTGCTGGGCCCCTGGAGCAGAGCCTGGGCCCTGCCAAGGCTCCCCCAGCATGCCCAGCTAAAAAAGGGCACGGTGTCGAGAGAGGCTTCAGGCCATGCCTTGGTGGCCAGAGGGGCTCAGGGGGGCTGCACAAAGCCACTCTGCTTTAGTTCACTGCCCAAAACCAAGGACCAGCCCATCAAACCACGCGTTCAGTATGGAATGGGAGTGTTCAGTTCCAAGGTAACGCTAACCCCAGCAGGAGAACCTTATTCTTAAAAATACTGTGCATTTTTTAAGCAGACGTGATTTTCACTAATGGTTCTAAGAATCAAACGATATACTTTTATGATTTTTCAGGTGTAATTCACCTGAGACAGCTCTCCAAATTACAAGCATTTGTTAACCACTGCAGTTTAAAAAAATACTGTTTGGAATTAAAAAAATTTAAAAGGGCCTGATCAAGTACTAACTCTTAAATTATAAGAATATTAATCTAGTCACAGGAGTGTGCAGACTGCTAGTAATGAGTAACAAGCTGATGGTTTCACAATTAGATTTAGTATCTCAAATCTACAACTTCCAATCTCATTGCACTTCTGAGCATAAATTGTTGAGATCAGAAATGATGAGTTTCCAAATTAAAAAAAAAGGGTCTTAGCATCTAGATGTATGTTATGCCATTCTAGAGGTCCCTTTTTGCCCTTTTATGGTGAATATATTGTATTTGCCCCTTTCTTTTGTACCCACTGGGGTACAAAAATGCTAGCAAAGACCCCTCCTATGGAGACAGGCTAAGAGAGGGGGATTTGTTCAGCCTGTGGAAAAGAAGGCTCCGAAGAAACCTCATAGCACCTTCCAGTACCTAAAGGGGGCTTACAATAAAGCTGGAGAGCGACTTTTTACAAGGGCATGGAGTGATAGGGGAAGGGAGAATGGCTTTAAACTGAAAAGGGATGGGTTTAGATTGATATTAGGAATAATTTCTTCCCTGTGAGGGTGGTGAGGCCTGGCACAGGTTGCCCAGAGAAGCTGTGGCAGCTCCATCCCTGGAAGCATCCCAGCCCTCGTTGGATGTGGCTCCGAGCAACCCTGGATAGTGGAAGGTGTCCCTGCCCATGGCAGGGGGTGGCACTGGGTGGGCTTTGATGTTCCTTCTGGCCCAATCTATCCTGGGATTCTGTGTACACACAAATGTAGGCCCTAGATCTGACACTTCCCCAGATTCTTCCAGCTCAGTCTCCTGGAGTCACCACAATTGTTAAATCCTTCCTGGAAAAGCCATATGAAGAGGACAGGTGCCAGAGCCCTCATTCAGGATCCAGCCCTTGGACAGGGAAACCAAAGATGAGGCCCTTCAAACTTCCCCAAACACGCAGCAAACCTCAGGGCTGGACTAAGTTAAAACACAGCAGAATTAGAAACTGAAAGTCCAAGCAGTACAAGGCACCAGAGGGCAGAGAAGCTCTGGCTCCCTGCCCATGTGCTGACTAGGTGAAAAGCATTGACCCAGGGCCCTCCAGGAGCCACCACACAGAGGGCTCTGGGTTTTATTTCATGGAAATGTGCTTCTGGACAGCTTGAGCTGAGCAGCAAAGGCTTTACAATGCACTGACAATATCCTTTGCCCTCCTGACCCTGTTTATCTCAGCCATTTTATACCAGGCTCTAATGGCCTAATTAAGACACTTTAGCCAGAGTGGTTTCACATTTCCCAGCAGTAAATGAAATCCTGGCATGCCTTAGATCAGTGGGAGTATTCCTGAGAATGAACTTCAGAACTTGGCCAAGCAGCAGGATTGTGTGTCCTTGGTGTGCCTGGGAGCAAAGCCCCATTTGGGACCCTTCTGTCAGGAGAGGACAGCTCTGTTGCCTAAACACAGGTTATTGGGGCTGTTTGAAATGTCCTTTGGCACCTGAGACATGCCTGTGGGTTGTCAGCAGCGAGGCAGGACTGCTGTGTCCTTGACAGCTCTGCCTGCATGGGGAGAAAGGGGCCCACAGGTTTTGCCACTACAAGAAGGTTAATTTGGGTCACTTTAGAAAATATTTGGCATATGCTTGCCATGGCAAAGCTGGAAACTGATAGGAGTCCTACACTTGCAGTCCTCTTTGCGTCTTTCCCCCCACCCCCAAGGAAATCAAGGCACAGGCTGCATTCTCCTAGGCTTGTCCATCTTGGCTCAGGCTGGATGGTGCCAGCAGCTGAATGCAGTTGCCACCTCATAGCTCTCCAGTGATAAACATGGAATGAACTGGAAATCTCAATCCAACAGAGAAAGCTGTTAACCAAAAATGAGTCCTATGAAATCAGCAGTTTTGCAGAAAAAGTCACACCCTGAAGGCAGTCAAGTATTTAGGCTTCATTTTAAACCTGTGCCATTGAAACACTCTGATAATCTCAGGTGATTTGTATGCTCAAAATAAGCCAGCACTTATCCACTTTTGGAGACCAGGTCTTAAACAGGTAGAAAGATCAGCCTGGAAAAGCAGATCTGAGGAAACTTGCTCTTCTTCTCCTTGGAGACAGGAAACATTAGTGACAATCTTCCAGCATTTTTAACAAGTATTAACTCTCTTCTATTAAAAATAATGATTATGCCTCTCTGAGTACTAGTTTTATGAAGATGGTATCTGGAAAAATTTAATTAAAATGAAAGAGAATTTGTCATAACAAGTCTACATAGAAAAAGATAAAACAAGGCCAGAGATTATAATGGAATATTGCTTCATTTATCTGGAGCAGAAATACACCAAATGGGTTATTTGGATGAATATGGATCTTTTTACTACATTTTTAACCTTGTAATTAGCTGCAGGGTGAAGGTGAGGCTGCTTAGTCAATAACTGGGATATGTTTTCCATCAGTTATCTCTGGTAGTCTTTTGTTCCAAATCTGGGAATACAGTTTTTGCTGTGAAACAGGACCCAGATGCAGGAATCATCAACTGGTGCTGACAGACTGCCCTGTGCACATATTCCTCTGTACATTGTAAAACTGAGGAAGTCTTCCTCTCTCAACTCTCATTTCTGGTCTATTACTTATTTTTTGAGAAGAAAATATTCAAGCAATTCCTGCAGCGGTACTCTGACATTAAGTCTCTTTATAGAAGTATTTGACTATATTTTAATGCAGGGAAATTTCACCTTGATGTCTAGGTGCTAGACTTTGATGTTCATTCCAGTGCTGAGGCACAGGGGAGAAGCAGTTTATCCACAGAGAGTTCAACACAAACACCTCATTGCAGCACTGAGCATCCACCTTAGGTGTGAAAATACACAATATTAGAGAGTCCTCAGACTCCAAAAACTAATTGAGTTAAATAGGCCAATGTCATCCTATTCCTGCTCCTTTTTCACTTCTCACATCTTAGGAAGATGTCTGAATTTCCTGCTCACCTTGTCTAAACAGGGGAGGCTCCTGACAGAAGCTGAGCTTTTTGTGCATTTGAAAATTGTTTGATTGGAAAGGTTTTAATCTCGCACCTACACAGCCTCCCTGTTGGATGAAGTTACAGATATATGGGCCACTCCAGAGAAGCAAACTGAACCAACCAGAGGCTTACACAACAGGCAGCATTGATGTTTGTTTTCTCGAGGGCCGAGGATAGTGCCTTCCAGCTGCAGGAGAAAAGGGGGAAGAGAAGAATGCCTTTAACTGTTTTTATACAATAGATGTAGATGGGAGCAGGCCAAAATCCAGGCAGGCACTCCAGAGCTTTAGCATGAAGCTATATGAAAGTTTGGACTCAAAAGCTCTGGTTTTGTTTCTTATCTTTTTAATAGACAAAAGGAAAAAAAAAAAAGAGAGAAGAAACCATTCCAAACCATTCCAGACATTTTGATATTTAAAATCCAATTCTGATTTTAAAGCCCATCTGTAGCTGGATTATATTTAATAAACTTATCTCAAGTAATGCACAATTAACAGCTTACTTGAGGAAAGCCTGGTTTTTCAAGGCACCCAATGAAGTTTCCC